ATATAGCTTGATTGCTCCCCATCACTTGTATTTCATTCAGTTCCTTCTGGTACACAGTATATCATTATTTTCTTTTAGTCAGTAGTAAAGATTTTCTTTTTACTACAGTTGAGTTATTTACACAAAACAATTAAAAGATTCCATTCAAAGCAAAAATCAAGAAAGTTACTGCGTCGATTTTGATACAAAGAGCAGGCAAGAATGTGAAAGAATTTTTTGAACCAGTTCCTCCTGCCCTGATTGCTAAGGGTTAAAATATAATCAGCAGTTCCCCCAGAGATGTTCAACACCCTTAACAGTTAGTAGCCTGCCAACTACCCCTGTGAATTTAGCAGAAATGCTTGGATTTTCACACAGACAGGAGTCAAGGGCCACATTAGGACCACCAACGGCTAATTAACTTTGCCTTTAAGGCCTAACCAGAAGCCTTCTAATAATTTATAATTCGGACATTTGCAAATGGTTTACTGTCTTATTAGCTCAGTTGGCTGGGAAGCTGGTTTACAATGTAGAGTGATACCAATAGTGAGTGTTCAATCCTGCACCAGCTGAGGTTACCATGAAGGCACTAATTTTTCAATCCCTTGCCTGAGGTGAGGTGACCCTCAGCTTAAATCACCGTTCAGTCACCTCTCTCTCTAATGAGAGAGCAGTACTATAGCAACCTTACCTTTATTAACCTGTCTTATCATTACATAAAGATTGTCTTCAGCTTATTCTGAGGCCCAGGAATAACAGATAGACTTTCTTCTCTCCCGCTATACAGCGGGGATATTTTCTATCTTTCAGCCAAATTCCTTTTGGACAAGATGTTAAACAAAAGCTAAGCCTGCTCTCCAGCGGTCGTAAAAATCTCTGAGCACTGGTGGGAAAAGAGCAGATTATTCTCCCTAGATTCCTGTACAATATTTATCCTTCAAACCATATTACAAATATAGATAATCTAATGAAGATCAACACAAGCTCAATTCAAGATCAATTTCAACAATTTTACCTTTTAACTGCTTCCCCCATTTTTGTTCACTTCCTGTTTTTTTTTATCTCCTATCTCCTTAGCTTTCAGACAACAGCCATTCAGGATGCTGTGTACTATTCACACCTCCTTTGGATTTATCTCTTATTCCTTTACTTCTCCTATTACTGCTCTCTTTGGATTTGCTTCATCAACCCTTTGTAACTTAATCTCTCCTGCCCTCTACTTTATTATTGACTCTCTTTTGTTCTTTGACTCTCCCACCCCACCCCCTACAACTTTCGCTTGTTCCAAATCCTGATTTCCCCAATTCTGAGAAGTCACAAGAAACAAAACATCTGTTTCTCTTCTCTCAAATGTTACCAGACCTGTTGAGCATTTCACACACTTATTTTCTTTAAAAAAGTCTGATCATGATCGCTGTTCTGTTTGTGGAGTCTTGCTGTGCCCCAAATGGCTCCTGAAGTTTCCATGTGACAACAGCAGACTTCAGAATTGACTGTAAAGCACTTTGGGATATCCTGAGGCCACAACAGGTGCGATATAAATGCTAGCTGTTTCTTTTTACTTCCTCTTCATTCAATGTTCCTTAAACAGTGGACAATTGAGGTCTTCCTAATACAAAGAAACTTGGAAATCATCAGGAATACTTTGTAAATTAGCCGTCTTTAAAAGCAGTGTGGTATAACTAAACCTCAAGAGGCCTGAGAACTAGGATTGTTTGAATAATCAGTAGAAAACATAAAATAGATTTTAATCTGAACCATGAATTGATATTAATTAGGGGGCTGAGACGGTCTGGTACATTCATCTGCACCTCAAATCTTAATGGAGAAATATAAAGTTATATATTCCCCCTTTCGACCCCTCATCAGTTCCAGGTTAGTTTCATAAATCAACCGTTACAGTATCCTGGAATGATTTACAAACAATTCTTCCTTGGCAGATTGCTATGAAATTGGCTTCACTTTAAAACAAAAAAAAATCACATCAAAGCTGATGTTGGATTGGAAAGGAAACACTGTGCACACATATTGACATGATTTCTATAGAGGCTTATTCAAAAACATAACACACAGTGTTTGAATCCACAAGGTTAAATCACAGGTTACATGACAATGATATTGAACTTGAAAGTATTCAGTTGAAAAGTACTTCACTTACTTTGATCCTATAAATCAGAAGATTTGGACTCTTTTACTTGAGAAAAAAGAAGTGTTGGAGGAACTTTAGCCAAGATATGGATGAAAGGAGAGAATTCAAAGTTGCTCGAGAGATTAAGTTATATAGTTTTGTAAAGACAAAAAAAAACCCATATCATCAGGAATACATTAAAAAGTAATTTTAAAATGTGTTCGCAGCTGTCCAGGCCATAACTTTAAGCTTTCTGCCCCAGGTCTACAAAATACTCTCTCTTCCTTTAGAGGATATGTTCACTCAGAGAATCTAAGTTGCCATAACAGCACTTCGACAGCCTGCAGTCTGGAGTCATGATGTGGAGGTGCTGGTGTTGGACTGTGGTGGGCAAAGTCAGAAGTCACAGGATACCAGGTTATAGTCCAACAGGTTTATCTGAAATCACAAGCTTTCAGAGCGCTGCTTCATCAGGTCACCTGACAAAGGAGCAGTGCTCCGAAAGCTTGTGTTTTCAAATAAACCTGTTGGACTATAACCTACTGTCATGTGACTTCTTACTTTGCAGTCTGAAGCTATATGGATGGTGATGGTTCCAGCTTTCTTTCCATCCCACGTCTGACCAAGACCATCTCCCAATCTTAACTCCCGGCTATTGGCACCCATCAGAATGATTTTCAGGTTGATAATCAACCTACTTGGCCATCAAGCCCTGGACTGGGGACGCAAACGTGACTTCCTGGGTCTGAGGTAAGGACAATACCCACTGCATCACAGAGCCTCCCTAGCTCCTCTGTTAACATCTGCCTAACACCCACCTCTTTGATCGCCTTCCCCAATATCTCTGTTCGGGCAGCTGGTGCAGATATGTGCTCTCATGAAGAACTTCAGAATATTAACTCCATTGACGTCACCATAGCGACACAAGTTGGTTTTGTAAAAGGCAAGAGAGTCAAGGGGTAATGATCAGGTCACTACAGATGTGTATCTTATGGGAGAAAATTAACCGTGCATGAGGTGATTCCCAGACGTTCCATATCCATTGAATGAGTAAGGAGATGAATTCTGATTTTTAAAACTAGGAAGGATAAGGAGGGGATAGGACAAACTTAATCAACTGAGAAGGAACATCAAAAGAAGGCTTAAAACAACAGTATTCAGAGATGAGGTCTACAACGGATATCTCACTTGGTTCTCTATCCACCGTAACATATCCTCCTACATTTATTTTTCTCCTGGTCAAATTTTATGCAATTCTATTACATTTGCAATTCTGGTGAAGTGCTACACATCTGAAACATCATAAACATTAAATTCTCTCTATAGATTTTGGATGATCCTCTGAGCATGTAAAGCAATTTGGGATTTTTCTTTTAAGATTTCTAGCACACTCCTCTCATACATTATAAATGTTGTTTACCCCTTCTTTTGACATTTCCTGGGAACTATCTTAATGAATGTAAGATGAAAAGCTTCAACAAAAGTGCCTTTTTACATCAACACTCATGTTCTTCTGTTCTTGCTTCTTATTTTGATTCAGAACACAAGTAAAAAGAACAAAGATCTGTAATAAGTCCTACTCCTCCTCTTCCTGTGTGTCCAGAATCCTTCTACATTCTCAACATTGTCCCTGCCTTTTCACAGATGCTGACTGACTCACAGTCATAGAGTTGTACAGCACAGAAACAGACCCTTCAGTCCAACTCGTCCATGTCGACCAGGTATCCTGAATTAGTCTAGTCCTATTTGCCAGCATTTGGCCCGTATCCCTCCAAAGCCTTCCTATTCATGTACCCATCAGATGTGTTTTAGATGTTGTAATTACAACAGACTCTACCACTTCCTCCGTATGGAAGAAGCTGCCAGAGGAAGTGGTGGAAGCTGGTACAATTACAACATTTAATGATGGGCATATGAATAGGAAGGGTTTAGAGAGGTATGGACCAAATGCTGGCATTGGGACTCGATAAATTCAGGATGCCTGGTCAGCATGGACGAGTTGGACCAAACAGTCTGTTCCTGTGCTGTACAACTCTATGAATCTAAGTCAGTCAGCATCTGTGAAAAGACAGCGGCCATGCTCAGAGGGTAGAAGGACACTGGACACACAGGAAGAGGAGTAGGACATTAGGCCTTTGAGACTGTTCTCGAGTAGATGGGAGACACAATCCATTTGCTAAGCATGGTTAATTTATTCTATACAAATGACAAATTTGCTTTCTCCACAATCAAGGGCATCAAAGCATGCTCCTGCAATGGACTGAGGACCAAGAATGAAAAGTAGGGACACATACTGGACAGAATGATCCTGTATGAATGAGAGATGATCTTATTGAGAGGTAAAATAAAAATCTGCAAAGGTTTTAGAGTGCAGATGGGGAGAGACTGTCTCCTTGGGCTGGAGAGTCTAGAACCAGGAGTCAGAATTTAAGGAGGAGATAGATTTTTTAATTAGAAACAGGTTGAAGGGATATGGAGAGTGGACAGGAAAGTGGAGTTGAAGCCAAGGTGACATCAGATGTGATTGTATTGAGTGGTGCAAGCTTGAGGGGCTGAATTGCTCACTCCTGCTCCTCGTTCTTATGTTCTTATGATAAAGGGGGAGGCAGTGGCTGAGTGGTATTATCACTAGACAATTAATCTGCAAACTCAGCTAATGTTCTGGGGGGCTAGTTTCAAATCCCGCCATGGCAGATGGTGGAAGTTGAATGCAATAAAGAATCTGATTAAGAGTCTGATGGTCATGAATCCATTGCCGATTGCCAGGAAAAACCCATCTGGTTCACTAATGTCCTTTAGGGAAGGAAACTACCATCTTTGCCTGGTCTGGCCTACATGTGACTCCAGACCCCCAGTCTCTTAACTCCCCTCTGGGCAATTAGAGGTGGGCAACAAATGCTGGCCTTGCCAGCGAGGCCAAAACCTGTGAATGAATAAAAAAAGGGATACAGGGCAGCCATTGAGGGCTGAGATGAGGAGAAACGTCTTCACTCAGATGGTTATGATTCTTTGGGATATTCTACCCTGAAGGACTGAGGATGTTCAGTCATTGAGCATAGCCAAAATTGACCTTGACAGATTTTTAGAAACTAAGGAAATGAAGAGATAGGGTGAGAAAGTGGAGTTAATGTAGAAGTTCTATCATGATCTCACTGAATAATGGAGCGGTTTTGTAGTTGACTCCTGAAAGTGTAACTGAAGTGATTCTTTTGCTAATAAGGCAAGCCCACTTCATACCAGAGTTGCTAATTATAATAGAACATTTCTCAGACGCCCTGCACAACCTCACTGGAAATAATCTGGTGCCTAGTCCGTGTCAAGGTTTATTTGCAGTTGTTGGCTCAATATCCTGCAGCTCCACAGGCAGATTCTTTGGTTATGACTGAAGTCCTGTTAATTCTCGATGATGGCTACCAAACATCACAGCTGCTGTACGATCAAGTTCCACACGCACCAGATGTTTGCTCAGGGTATACAGTGTAGTGTTTTGAAATCGAAACCTTGTAGATCATGACCTGTTAAAAAACAAAAGGGTGAAATTTCAGAAGGAATCCCAGATTTGACTGGCCATCAGTCAGCTCAAGTTAAATCCATAGACGAGATAGCTTAAAAATGCAAGAATGCTATCCAGATTGGCTGTTCCAATCTCAGAAACTTGATATTTCAAGCTAAAATGGTGAATTAAAAAGGCCAATGCAGTATTGTACTGTCACCAACACATCAATAGGTTTAACCCACGTATAGCTGAGGTATACCCTAGGCTCTATCTTGTCTTATGAAGAGAGAGTGAGCAGTTCAGGCCTATATAAAAACAGAAGTTGCTGGAAAAGCTCCGCAGGTCTGGCAGTATCTGTGAAGAGAAAATCAGAGTTAACCCTCGGAGGAAGGGTCACCGGACCCGAGACGTTAACTTTGATTTTCTCTTCACAGATGCTGCCAGACCCGCTGAGCTTTTCCAGCAACTTAAGCTTTTGTTCCTGATTTACAGCATGGGCAGTTCTTTCGGTTTTTCTTTAGTTCAGGCCTATAACTCTGGGATTTAGGAGAATGAGAGAATAGCTAACTCAGGTTTATAAGATGCAAAACTGGATTGACAAAGTAGACATAGAGTGGAGATGGAGTTCAGTTAAAGAGATGAGTTAGTAAGTCTGTGTAAATTCATCTCCAAGGTTCACACATAAGTAATGGCCATTTAAGTGACTGTTTTCCAGGATAAATAGCGGCGACAAAAGTGAGCTTTCCCTGCATGGAATCATTACAGAATATTAACTGGGTGATTGTACAGTCTTGAAGATGTATGATCCACACAAGACAAGAGGACACTGGGAATTTGGAAGTCAGTGCCCTCACTTAGAGATTCATGCAGCTTTCTATCGGTGCCAAAAAGAGAACACATCAGGGATTCAGGGACAGGTAGGGTAGCATGGTAGCTCAGTGGTTAGCATGGCTGCCTCACAGTGCCAGGGACACGGGTTTGATTCCAGACTCGGGTGACTGTCTGTGTGGAGTTTACACATTCTCCCTGTGTCTGCATGGGTGCCCTTCCACAGTCCAAAGGTATGCAGCTTAGGGCAGATTGGCCATGCTAAGTTACCCCATAGTGTCCAGGGATATGCAGGCTAGGTGGATTAGTCATGGTTAACACTGAGTTTTGGGGAGCAGGGTCGGTCAAGACACGATGGTCCAAATGGCCTCTTTCTGCTCTGTAGGGATTCTGTGATTTGTTCAGAAACTTCAATGTACTCAATGAGCAGTTACACAGGAAATCTCAAGTCATCAGGTCTATAGGTAGGATCCTACAATCTGAACAGGCAGGCCCAAACAGAACACAATGCTTTGGGACACGTTCGCATCATTTTCACTTCAAAGTCAGAAAGACACGAGTTCAAGTCCCACACTTCAGCACAAAACCAAAGGCTCCTCAGTCCTGAGATAATAAGGTGTAGAGCTGGATGACCACAGCAGGCCAAGCAGCATCAGAGCAGAAAAGCTGACGTTTCGGGTCTAGACCGTTCTTCTCCAGCATCGGCAGTTCCTACTATCTCTGTAACAATTTTAGCTCCTCAGTCCTGCAAAGTTAGAAGTGTTGTCTTTCATTGAAGTAAGGTCTCACCTGTTGTGTCAGCCAAACATTAAGGATTCCACATCATGAGGGACGTGTCCTCAAAAGGGAGGCTTGCCCTGGAGTCCTGGCCAATAGTTCTCCCTTAACCAATAACTTTGAAAAAAATGATCTTGCCATTTCTATCACCGCTGTTTGGAAATAATTGCTGAGTGAAAATTGGCAGCTGTATTACTTACATTACAACAGTTTACATATTTCAGAAGTACATTATTGGAACATTATAGTGTTTTGGGAGGTCCTGAGGTCATAAACAGGGGCTGCACTAAATACAAATCCATGAAGATACCAAATAACCATTTCATACAGAGGACCCCTGTGTGGCAGAACCTGCCTCTGTCAAATTAAGTCTCTTCAGCCAAAAATGCCCCATTCCCAGCAAACTAGCTATACATCCACCACCTTGAGTTGATGCTGACAACCCTCTCTGCCATAATAACAGGCCACCAATTACCATCAGAACCAATTCCTCCTCATTCAATACCAACTACCCTTTCAGCTTCTCCAAACAGCATTGCCAATTTCGTGTCAAAACTTAGAGTCTGTTCTGTGGTTTAGTCTGATTTGGATGTCAGTTTTGACAACCCAAACTCCTTTCAATCATGCCATAGTGAGCAGAGTAGACTTTCACTCAGTCAATCTGGTTCTATACAAAGCTAGGAGGTGTGAAGACAGCAGCTACTGCCTGCTGGTCTTCAGTTTTCAATAAATCTCTCTGCTATCTGTTACAGTAAATGAGCTGATCTCCTGCACAACATCCTCACCACTTTCCAATTGCGCCGTTTCAGAAAACATTGTGTGACTTGCACTTATGCACCCATATAGGAGTTTCGAACCTAGAGGTAACATATAACAGTTGGAGGTGATGGCCTAGTGGTATTATCGCTGGACTGTTAAGCCAGAGACCCAGATAATGTTCTGGGGACATGGGCTCGAATCCTACCACGGCAGATAGTGGAATTTGAATTCAACAAATATCTGGAATTAAGAATCTAATGATGACTGTGAATCCAACGTTGATTGTCGGAAAATCCCATCTGGTTCACTAATGTCCTTTAGGGAAGGAAACTGCCATCCTTACCTGGTCTGGCCTACATGTGACTCCAGATCCACAGCAATGTGCTTAACTCTCAACTGTCAGCTCAGCAGTTAGGGATGGGCAATAAATGCTGCCTGGTCAGAGATGCTGACATCCCGTGAATAAATGAAAAAAAAAAAAATCTGTTTATATGAAACCTCGTAATTGGGTGGAGAAATAATGTTAAAAAATGGAGGGAGGGGCAGTAGTCAACTGCAGGGCATCTGAAAAGAAACATTAAGAGTACTGTATGGCCTAACCAAGGTGCTGAGCAATTTGTGGCTGGAGAAGAGGTCAAAATTGCTGCTAAAAAAACAAAGACGCAGTTCTTGAGATAGGAGGAACTGCCGATGCTGAAGAATCTGAGACAACAAGACGTACAGCTGGATGAACACAGCAGGTCAAGCAGCATTAGAGGAGCAGGAAAGCTGACTTCAGGTCGAGACCGTTCTTCGGAAATCTGAAGATCTTCTGAAGAAGGGTCTAGACCCAAAACGTCAGCTTTCCTGCTCCTCTGATGCTGCTTGGCCTGCTGTGTTCATCCAGCTCTACCTCTTGTTGTCAAAGATGCAGTTCTTGTAGTTTTCTGCCAGAGTCAGAAGGTCGCAGGTTCAGGTTTCACTATAGCCTTTCAAATTCAATATTAAATTCGAAGTCCCATCTTCCCCCTCAGGTGGATATGAAAGAAGGCTCTAGTTTGACAAAGAACAAAATGAAATTACTTTTATTCATTCTTGGGACATGAGCATCACTAACTGGGCCTATATTTATTGCCCATCCCTAGTGGCCCTCTAGAAGGTGTTGGTGAGCTACTATCTTGAACCGCTGCAGTCCATTTTGCATAGGTGTGCCAACTGTGCCGTTAGGGAGGGTGTTCCAGGATTTTGACCCAGTGACACTGAACGTACAGCGATATATTTCCAAATTAGGATGATGAGCAGCTTGGAGGGAAACTTGTAGGTGGTGATGTTCCCATGTAGTTCTAGATGGTGGTGGTAATGGGTTTGGAAGGTGAATTTCTGCAGTGCATCTTGTAGATGGCGTACACTGTTGCTACTGAGTGTTGGTGGTGGAGCGGGTGGATATTTGTGGATGCGGAGCAATCAAGCGGTCCTGGACGGTGCCAAAATTCTCAAAGTGTTATTGGAGCTGCCCTCATCTGGACAAATGGATGCTGTCTTGTTGCCTTGTAGGTGATGGCTAGGCTTTGGGGAATCAGGAGGTGAGTTACCTGCTGCATCATTCTTAAGCTCCGAGCTGCTCTTACAGCCGCAGTATTTATATAACTAGCGCAGTCTTCAGTTTCTGGTTAATGGTAACCCCCCACCCAAGCAAAACGCTGATAGCCAGGTATTCAGCAGTGGTAATACCATCGAATGTAAAGGGGTTAGATTCTGTTTTTGGAGGTTATCACTGCCTGGCATGTGTGTGGCACGGAAGTTTCTCGGCCAACACTTTTGTCTCCACTAAGCATCTAAAAGCAAGTTGCTCAATCATTATCATTTGCTATTTGTTGAAGTCTTGCTGTGTGAAGCTTAGGGCCGCCAACACGACACCACTATTACACTTCAAGTGCACTGTGTTTTTTTACTATCTTTTCATGGGATGGGCATGCCTCTGGGAAGGCCAACATTTGTTGCCCCTCCTCAAATTGGCCTTGACCTTGAGGAGATTACTGTGATGTTAAAGCATCAATTTCATTATTGTGGGTCTGGGTAACATGCGGACCAGACCAGGTTAGGCTGGCAGCTATTCTGGGTGGCTCAGTGGTTAGCACTGCTGCCTCACAGTGCCAGGGACCCGGTTCGATTCCAACCTCAGGTGACTGTCTGTGTAGCAGTTGCACATTCTCACTGTGTCTGCGTGGGTTTCCTCCCACAGTCCAAAGATGTGTTGGTTAGGTGGATTAGCCATGCTATTTGCCCCATGAAGCTAATTGATTCATTTCTGAAGAAGGGTCCAGACCCAAAATATCAGCTTTCCCGCTCCTCTGATGCTGCCTGGCCTGCTGTGTTCCTCCAGCTCCACACCTTGTTATCTCAGACCTCAGCATCGGCAGTTTCTACCATCTCTATTTGCCTCATAGTGTCTGGGGTGTGCAGAGATAAGGTGGGGGGATGGGTCTGGATGGGGTGCTTTTCGGAGGGTCAGTGTGGATACAATGGGCTGAATGGCCTGCGCCCACACTGTAGGAATTCTAAAGGAAATTAGTGGACCATGTGGCTTTTAAACAATGATTGATGATACCTCTACAGTTGCCAATTATTGAGACTGGCTCTGGGTTCCAGATAGATGTGTTAATTTTAAATCCCACC